CTGCAGTGCAGGTGGTGAATGCACTTTTATAATATACAAAGAGCTCTTACAAATTGAGAAGATAATTTAGTGGGCAGATGATATCACCATTGACTACAAATGTTTTTAACAAAAATCTAGACAATTATTTAAAACTGATGTATATGTTAGAAAATTTCCAAGACACTCTAATTGTCCTGGGCATTTTTCTTAGCACAAATTGCTGCCCAAATGAGGCAAATAGTATAGCTGCGTAGCCTTGACTTGGAAGAGTTGCCCCAGGTTGTGCAGCTGGGCAGTACAAGAGGTACCCTGCAGTGCTGGGTCCATCCTCCATGAAGAAGCCCCCACCCAAATGCACCGGAATTTCAGTGTATACATGCCCATACTCAAGACCCAGAAGAGCTCATGTGTGTCTGATGAAAAGTAGGAGGAGACCCGAAAACCATGGAACACCTGGCAGCCAGTTTCAGCCAAAGCGTGATTTTGCCTGCCTCTGTTTTGCCATCTTTTTCTCTTTTTCAAAGGGTCCCTGTGACCTAGTGACCCATGGAGCAGGAACGCAGTGGGCCTGGCTTCCCGCAGGTGGCTGAAGCGGATCTGTGCAGTTGATGTGAATTTGCAAAGCTCTGTCAAGCGGAGGCTTTCCTGTAGTCTCTGTCACCCAAATACCATTTAAAGAGTGGGGGGATAGTGGCACAGTGTTTTTTCAGAATAAGGAAGATTAAAGCACGGCATTTGTTGGTCACACTTGGTAAGTTAATTTGCTTTAGTTCAGGGTCTGTCTGCAACAGTGTGCAGCACGGAACCAACAGTGGGACAACAAGCAGGCCATTTGCATCTCATGGATAGAACCACTGTGAGGAGGCTCTTCGTCTAAAACCCAGTGATTGTGTTATCATGTAGATAGCCCTAATATCATCTGTGTGGTTGCAGATAGAACCAGGACGTATCACTGTCAGTCCCTGGTACAGGGTGTTTTCTCTCTGTGTGAAGAGAAAAAGGAAGCATAGAATCTGGATAATGACCCTCAGATAAACTCCATGGGAAGAGAATAACTCATCTGTGCTCTCAGCCCCAAAACTGCTGATACTGCAGCCCAGTATCACTGCTCCCGTCTGTTCTTATTGCTGCCTGGAGTAATACCGCCGTTCAGTATTATTAGGGAATTCTCTCTCTCTATTTTTTTCCTGGTGGAGGGAGTGACATTTTTAAAAATAAAAGCATATCCCTTTCAATACAAATTATTATTTTTTAAAAAAAATTTAATCTACCTAATCTTTAAAAATGTATTCTATTTCCTCTTGTTTAGATAACATTACAGAAGATTTAGCATTTTCTTGATGATTAGGCTGTGGACTATTTTCTGTCTGCCCTTGACTCCTATAACTGAGCAGTTTGCTGCCCCTCCCCCACAATCTTCTAACAGATGCAGTCCTTCTGTTTTCAGAAGTAATCACAGATCCATTCTGTCCGGTATAGTAGCCACTAGCCACATGAGCCTTTGGAGCACTTGAAATCTGGCTAGTGTGTCTAAGAAACTGAATTTTTACTTTTATTTAATTTTAATTAATGTAAGTTCAATTGTGAAATAAAGCAGCATATTAATCACAACTTTATGTTGGTAAGACTAGAAGATTTCATGTTAACTTTTGAAAATTTAGTAGCTAATCAAGATGTGTGTTAAGTATAAAACACTGGATTTTTGAAGACAGTTTGCAAAAAAGAGTAAAAATATCTCATTGATAATTTTTTTACATTGGTTACCTGTTGGAATGCTAATATTTTAGATATAGTGGATTAAATAAAATACATTTAGTTTATCTTGTTTCTTTTTACTTTGTTAATGTGGCTACTACAAAATTTGAAATTATACTTGTATGTGACACCCTTATGGTGTTTCTCTGGCGGGGTTTCTCAGCCTGGCATTGATGTGTGGGGCTGGATAACTCTGTTGTGGGCTGTCTTGTTGCCCTGGGATGTTCAGCAGCAGTCCTGGCCTAGCTGGTCTAGACCAGTGTCCTGCCCAGTACGGGAGCACCCTTCTGAGCCCTGATGGTTGGAATCCTCCAGCTTCTGTGTGAAACCTTTCCTCAGAAAGAATCTCTCATCTCCTACTTTTGGAATTAATTGTAAGACATATATTTATATTACCCATCCTAACATAAACTTTTGCCAATAGTACTAGTCCTCCTCTGTTGAGTAGCACAAGATAAACCAAATTTTTATGAAAGATAGTGTTTGCTAACAGGCCTTATAAATCCAACAGTTGGTTCAACAAATACTTAAATTCCTACTCTGTGTTAGGCATGGTCCTAGGCAGCAGGGCTTCGGCAGTAGAGAAAGCAGGTGGTTTCGTGGAGTTTACATACTGCGGTGGGGGGATGGGGGGAGCATGGTTACCAAATAAGCAAGAGATCATACCTTAAGCCACATGTTGATCACTGCTGTGGAGAAACAGGCAGGTAGAGGTGCATAGTGGGTGGGGGAGAGGGTGCTGGTGGAGCCGGGGTTCAGGGATGTTACTACTCCTGCCATCCCAGGCCCCAGATGCTCTAAGACCTGCAGTTTTTCTTGTCTCTTCTGGGCTACACATTTCCTTCACCATTGCTTGTGGGAAATGTTTTTCAGACACCTCTGCCTAGCCTCTGATAAGTCTTCCTGAGTAGGGGTGTTAAGGTTCCTTTTAACAGTGGCACCTGGATCCGAATCCCAGCTGGAGCCACCCTTGGGCACACTCTGGCTCACACCTCTGCTTTGGCAGTATGAGATTGCACCTGTCTTTCTGGCAGCCTCAGTCAAGCTATCGACTTAGATCACAGTCAGCAACCCCGATGTCATTTACTAAACCATGACTTCTGCATGGTATGCATGTCCTGGAGGCCATTTTATTGCACCTCTGCTTTGGCAGTATGAGATTGCACCTGTCTTTCTGGCAGCCTCAGTCAAGCTATCGACTTAGATCACAGTCAGCAACCCTGATGTCATTTACTAAACCATGACTTCTGCATGGTATGCATGTCCTGGAGGCCATTTTATTGCACACAGTGTGGTCTCAGTTTGTGCTTGGCTCTGCGTGTCTTACACAAGAAAACAATGTGTGCTTAGGGATAGCTGTTTACCTTTTGAAATACCTTTCACCTTTGCTTTCTGGTTATGTTCAGAATAGATCATTAATGTTGCAGAATTCTGGCCTCCTCATAAATAATTATTGCATTTTCATGAAACACCACAAAAAGTTAAGTGGCTAAAAATGAGTGTGAAGTATTCCTGTGTGGGACTCTTGGCTGGCAGTCCTGTGCAGTTTTTGAACAGAGAATAATTACAAAGCTCAGAGGTCTCTTGTTTTCTACCTCCAAGATATTTTTGCTTTTCTTGTCTTTCTGCTATTCTTGCCTTTAACCAGAATGGTATATATTTTTAATTGGAATGGTATACATCTGTACATTTAATGTAAGCATTTATTGGAGGGAATTACGGCCCTTATTTGGGTTCCCAGCTTCTTAGGTATGTTGCATTTTTGATTGACTCTTTCATAGACAGGAGATGTTTATATACATCTCTAAGACTATTATACATGCAAATGGTGGATAGTGGCAGGGATGCTTATCTCTGGTATCCATTGTTCATGTCACAGAGGCTGATAGTCATGACAGTGGGGAATGTGATTTAAATACCATCTGTAGCCACTTATCCAGCAGAGTGGTTAGATGACAGATCTGCCAGATGAGCAGTGTATGTTCCTAAAAAAGAAAGCTGGAAGAATTTTACCATGGAGGGTTTTTAAATAATATAATTTATTTAAACTTTAAATTTTATTAACTTCTGTAATTCAAGTTAATCAGTTTAGAGTTTCCTTAGAAGATACATTTTTATTGTTTGATATTTTCTTTAATATTTTAGTTACATGAATAAATTTCAGAATGCAACTGGAAAACCAGCATCCCTGCCATACCTAAGATAACTGTGAGAAGAATGAATTACTATAGCAGTGTCTTAGAAAGTCGGTCTGGGCACCTCCTGGTCCTACCCCCAGTGGTGCTGCCACTCTGATCCATGGAAAGCGGGTCAACCCCCTGCCTGCTAGTCTGCCCTCAGGATGCTTGGACTCTGACGTGCTATGACAAGTCATCCTCCCGTGGCTATTTCCAAACCCCTGCAGAGGCTTTGAAGATGCTCTTTCCATAGAGGCTAAGATAACTGTGAGAAGAATGAATTACTATAGCAGTGTCTTAGAAAGTTGGTCTGGGCACCTCCTGGTCCTACCCCCAGTGGTGCTGCCATTCTGATCCATGGAAAGCGGGTCAACACCCTGCCTGCTAGTCTGCCCTGGATGCTTGGACTCTGACATGCTATGACAAGCCATCCTCCCGTGGCTATTTCCAAACCCCTGCAGAGGCTTTGAAGATGCTCTTTCCATAGAGGTTAATTTGTAATGGGTTTTCCAGTGTATCCAGAGTTGCTAGGTCTTGTTCAGTGTAGGTGTCCTTGGGCAAGTACTAATAATGTATGGTGCAGGGCCTAGATTTTACTTTGGCTTTTTTTTTTTTTTTTTTTACATTTACCTATTTAATTGCTTAATAAACTTTTAGCTGGGCCCTATTTAGGTCTTTGATTTGCGTTATTTAGCAGCTAGAGCCTGTTAGTTTATTAAGTGTCACAATATGGTAGGGGTACTTTGAATCCAACAGCAGGGTCAGCTGTGGCAGCATGTGGAAGGGTGGTGTATCTCTGAGGTGGTTCAAGCAGCTGGGCCCCAAGGCCCAGGGAGGACTAGGAGAATTCAGATCGGAACACCACCAAAGACAGAGGACCAGTTGATTTGCCATGAAACTTTTCAGAAGCCAAAATAGGAGTGAATAGGTTCAAACCCAGATTGACCCTGTATTGCCATGTCTATGACGATGCACATTTTTAAAGTGTCTCTATGTATGTGTGCCTGTGGCTGTCATGTTAATGACAATAGTTCTTCCTTCCCAATGGCATTAAAATAGACTCTTTTTCTTTTCTTTTTTCAGAACAAGCTTGCCCTCTCCTATGTTTTCCAGAAATGACTTCAGTATCTGGAGCATCCTCAGAAAATGTATTGGAATGGTAAGTTGGCTCAGTTTTATCAAAAAGCATTAAGCAGATATGTGTTTAACGGCATATCCTTTAGAAGGGAATCTTAAAGTTTGCATAAAAGGGGTGCACCACAATGTTTATGGAAACCTGTGAGCATCAAAAATTGTGAAAAGTCTTAGATTAGGTTCTCCTGACAGAATCTGAACCACTCTGTATGCTGTTTAATATTACTTTAATGTGACTTTTCATTGTAAGAAAATAGGGGGAAAAACACTCTTTTCCTGTTGTTACACCACATTTGTATTTCCCTGTAAACTTACCCAGAAATTCTCTCAAAAAGAACAGACTCCTCTACAGTGTAGAATATAATTTCATTTACACTTCTGGGCACACTTTGTGCTTCAAATGTGTAAGCGTGATATATTAAATATTTGGAATATGTCTCTGCTTAGTTATCTGTGCAGGTAGATCTGATTTCGGGGGAGAGGGCAGCATTTCCTGTTATGTAAATCCGTGGATTCTTTTTGAGGTAGTGATCAACACTGCCACCTGACATCAGTCAGACTGGAATTCTAATTTCCCTTAACTCTTCCTAGCATGACCTTTAACCATTAAGAATGGTAAAAACTTAAAACACGTGAGTCCCGAGGTACCAAAGAACCTGCCTAGATATTACCTTTTTAAATTTTGTAGTGTAGTGTGCAGCTGGGAGTGCTCCCAGAACTTTCCCTGCACTGAGAAATGTGGTCGTCTTCTAAACATTTCATTCTGATGCTTGCAGTCTTTTCAGCTGCTCATGTGCCACTTTGGCATTTTTCTAATGTTCTGTTCGCTGAGTGGGGTAATGTAATCCAAGACTTCCTAAATATAATTTCCAAGGATCTAATCCCAGAAACATTCATTTAAAAGAGATATTTTCTGAACTTTGTTTTTTGTAGCCTGATAATGCGGGATTTAATCCTAGCTCTGCCACTTCCTGTCTGTGAGGCGCTGGGCAAGTCGCTGTGCCTACCTGAGTAGCGTTTCCTCCTGTGTAAAATTAGAAAGATAATTTGTACCTGAGAGATGTATTGAGGGTTTAATAAGATGACTTATGTAAAATGTCTAGGATAGTTTCATGTTTAGCATAGTACTTAATATATAGTAGTTCTTATTATCGGTAGTTAATTATAGCTGAGAATCAGGAGACTTGGCTTTAGTCCTGTCTCAGTTATATTAGAATTCAACAGGACAAAGCAAATGTATAGAGACAAATGTATATATTCTTAAATAAGATCATAATTACACATATTAGTCTCTTTAGAACTGAGACTTCCAAGACAAAAAATTAATATTTATTTATATTCTGCAGATCAGTATTTTTCAAACCCTTAGAAAATGTATTTACCTTTGTGATCCAGTATGCAAATATGTGTAGAGTACATGAAAAAGTGGGAAAATAGAATTTAAAAGATGATACAAATCTTTCCATGAACTTTTTGAAGTATCCTTGTATATATGTGTATGCTTAAAATTAAAACTACTCTTGCAAAAGAATACTCATTACTACAAATGATATTTTCTCTTATATTGAATTAATGTTGATTCCAACTCATTAAACTGATTTCACAACTTGCTAATGATCCAGACCCTCAGTTTGAGAAACACTGTTTTAAGTTACTGTGGAATCGGTACCACATCTGTCTTAAGGCTATTTGGTCAGAGGAGTTTGTATGAAAATTTCAGATGTAATTTTAGTCTTTTTGACCATTATGCAAAATACGGTCCATTAAGAGAAATACGATGTATTTCTCTTTCCTGAGTCTGTCTCCTGCCATCTCCTGTTTCACTGGGTGTCAGCTGTAGTGGTGCTGTCATGAGTTTGTTCATGCAGGGGACCAAAAATCTGTCTAGTTTAAGTCTAAAGCAAGCATTCTGTCGAAATTGAGATGGGAAATAGTGTTATGTTGGATCATACCTGTCTTACTTTGAAAGATACTGTTTTTCTCTAGAATATGGTTTTATTTTTATTTTTAGGTATAGAACTACTTGTGCGAGTAAGCGCTTATGCTGAATCATGAATAAAATAAAGCAAATAAGAGCAGAGCCATTTGGGTTGAAAGGACTTTATCTGTAGAACTTACTGGTTAAAAGCATAGACAGACAGCTGCAGGGGAAATAGTATCTTTGGAAACTGCTCTGCTGAAGTCTATGAGAGACTGACATTCTGGAAGGAAATTTACTAATGTGGCTTGAAAGGAAATCACCTGGCATTTGCAAGTATTGTTCTTTGAGTATTACCTGTTGTAGGATCCCCTCTCTTAGGCAGCAGAAACATACCATCAAAAGGTATAGCCCTGGGCAACAATACAGGTTAAAAATAGAGTATCTCAAGAGAGATGCAAATATTATCACTAGAGTAAAAATTTTAATTTTGGTATCAGCCCCCTTTAATATCTGCCTGTTCCCATCCCCCAAAAGAAAATCGGTCAAAACCTAGAAAACAGTAGTATCTATAGTATTAATGCACTTAACTAAAACTGAAGACATTTTTTAAAAGATCTTCCACTGCATGTTCATGATTCTATTACAGTTAATCCAAATATTTTACTTTGGTTCCTTTTTGTGAGGTAAATCTCAGTTACGGAAGCCATGTACACATACCCTGCAGCTATTGCATCTCCTCCCTTAGCTTCATCTACCCCATTTCTTAATTTGAAGATAAGAGGTCATAAGGGTAGCAGAGGGAACTTGATGTTGAGCTGTGGCTGTTGGCGCTGTCTCTGTGGGCCTGAGTGGCATGCCCAGCCAGAGTGGGGCGTGCGCATCCACAGGTGGAGCCTTCCAAATTCCACACTGACTCGGCCCTGTCCCCACTTTTCCTGAAACAACTAATGTCTCTGAATATAGTTTTGTGGTGTAGTGTCGTTATTCAGAATATAGGGCTTTTACAAGCACATCTAGGTGCTTTTCTGCCAGGTGTGGTCTAGGTCTGACTGTCTAATTGGGAAGGAAGGCAGAACTGCTTCCTCGGGCATTAGTCGTCCTGGGCCCTGGGGCTGCGACCCCTTCTCCCACCGGGCTCATCTGCCCATCGCTGCGCTTGTACGTACCAGCACAGTGGCTTTCCTTTCTCTAAACAGCAGAACATATAAAGACTTGGCTTTCCAAAACCGATGATATCCTGCTTTTGTTCTCCCAATCTGTGTTGGACAGGCTTACGTTACCAAAATGTGGAATTATACTACATGAAATGAATACATTACTGGAATTCAATCCTAAGTCTCTTTGTGATTGAATTCTTTACCAAACAAACAAACTCCCAGCTCCTCAGAGCTGACGCCGATGCTGCTTAATCCTTGGGAGCCTTTGTTCCTTATTTCCTTACTCCCATTGTCCTTTAGGTGAAGGACTCTAATCCCACAGCCATGTTGTCTTGTGTTTTCCCTGTTTTCTTCCTCTTCTCTTCCGTCCCTTGGCTCTTAAGCCTTTCTCAGCAGGGCTTGCCCAGAGATTAGGTCGTGGGTGTTCATGTTTAGTGACTTTGGAAACCAGCACCAGGAACTAGCAGAAAATTTGAGTAGGTCCTTGTGCTCAGCACCAACCCCGTGTCTGTCCAGATGTCTTGGAGTAATAGAATCTTAGTGCTGGGTTACCGAAAGAGATGACAAAGTCTGGTATATTATGAATACTGAGGCTTTTTTTTTTTATTGAATCATAATTGATTATACATATTTTTGGGATACAGTGTTGACATATGTTGATCAAATCAATATTATTAGTATGTATATTATTACGAATTGTACTTATTCTTTATGCCCCTTGTCCAGTCTCTCCTCATCCCCCTCTCCTTCCCCCCTCCCACCGCTGATAGCCCTAGATTTCTTCTCTCCCTCTGAAAGAGTAATGGTTACTCTCTTGATCTGTTGCCTAGATGATCTGTCCAATGCTGAAAGGTGTGTTCAGGTCCCCCAATATTATCATAGAGTAGATGCTTCTTCTGTGACTCTGGAATGAGCTTTGTGGAGAGAGGCATGCTATTCTTTTCTTTGGTCTCTACTGGTGACTCTCCTTGTGTCAATGCACTCCAGTGGCTGGCGGACCATCTGCATGGTGGTTGTGATGTCTAGCCACTTTTGTGGTAGCCATGGTTACTGTTGTGGCTGTAGTGGGCCACCCACATGGAAGTGATGTTTTCGGCATGCTCCTTGGTACTGGTGGTGTACCTGGTTGTGGGCAGGGGGTCCAGTGCTCGGCTCCATTCCTCAGGTCCCCTGGTAGGCCCCAAGGCACTGGTGGTGTGCCTGGGCTGGAACTAATTTTTTGTCCTTAGCATCTTTCTAAAACAGGGGAACTTCCTGTGGGAACCAGTACTTGAGCTGTGTTGTTGATCTAAATTGCTGCTTTATTGCTGTTTCCCTAGGGAAGACTTTTTGTGCAGCTCAGGGTTTAATGGCTGACCTTATAGGTACTTCCGTCTCCTGGGTTGTGTAGAAACTCTGATCTGGGCCTGAGTTTTTTCATCAAACTGCACCCTGTGCAATTCTGCATTCCCGACCAGTCTCTTCTGAGTTGTCCTGTGCTGATTGGGTGGTGGATCAGCTGTCCTTGCTGTGTCCCAGTGTTCTCTCAGTGGGCCTATCTCCCCCATCGCCCATGCTCCATACACTTCCCATGGGATGGGCCCTGCGCCAGTCCCTTGAGCGATGACTCACTGGCTTCTGAATGGCTCCCTTTTTTCACTTGTTGTGGTTCCTTGCTCCTGTGTGGGTCCTCGGGAACCCTATTAGTGATCTTGCTGTCCTGGGGGCCACCAAGGCCCTCTTCTCCCCTGCTGCCTCCAAGCAACTCCATCTGAAGGGCACAGCTGTGGCTTCTGCTGGCTCCTGCTCCAAGCACTGAGCAGCTCCAGCATTAAAGCAGCTGCAGCCCGAAACACTCCAAGCAGTTTTTTCTTTCTCTCATCGAGGTTTCTCCCCCTTCACAAACTCCATAGGTCTCTCCTCCTTTTCCCCTGAGCTCACGGTGGCTTTCCTTTCTCTAAACAGCAG